AAACTGACTAAGTTAATATAATTTCAGGAAACGAAAATATTTTATTATTCGTTTCTACCATTACTTTTCCAGACCTCCGTGTATTCGTTTTTGGCTTAGAGGCCCAATTACGATGAACTAATATAGGTCCAGGTTCGAACCAAATAGTGGACCCTCTGGGCACCTATTTCAACTGACGTTTGATTTATAATGGACTGTTCGGGGCTAGGTTAATAAATAGTCAAGGGTGCTCTCGATGCACGCAGACCATATGCTGGATTGATCTGATTGGTTTACTTAGCCTAAAGGTCTTATTAGAGTTCTTTAAGGCTGTTAAGATCCCCCTAGGGGACGTAGAAGAATGCGTTGTAGTCGTCACTAGTTTGAGTGTTCGTTATTGCCTGGAATCGATAACGTGGACGTAAAAAACATTATTTGTACGTTATTTATACACATTTTTCTTTAAATTTGTTAGTTTTTAGAGCATTTTCCATTTAGGGAATAGGTCATTACTGTATGTCTCTCATGGTGACGCAGAGTTAAAAGTTTTTTTCTAATTTAAGTAAATATATAAATGTGGAAGCGTGAAAGGAGTTTTATTTTTGACAATTAAAGCATATCATTTTCAGTTAACATAATCTTTTTGGTTAAGACTCCATATATTTATATATGAGTCCATTAGCATTACAACTCAAGTAAAAATCATCCGATTTTGATGACTATGGGGGGGGGGGGGTATATGATGGGAGGTTTTACGGGGTATACATTGGGTTTTCATAAATTTTACAATTTATTTCCAAACTTGCGTAATTAAGACCATCGATGTATATATACATCGATGGTTAAGACTCCTATTGGTCAAGGGTAAAATAAGAATCAACTGTAAATTTAAAATTCGTATGTTATTCTTTTGGGGAATAAATAAACTGTTGTTTAATATGCAAGATTTGATAAAAAAATACGTCATCAAAGATATGATAATAAATACAAGATTTGATATGTTACGGTAAACAGTGTATAATCCAAACATTCTATAGAATGAGTAGGCATACCATTCATACATTGATACATTGCCTACAACTTTTGAGCAAAGTATGAACAATGGTGTTATGATAATAGAATATTATTTACTTTGACTAGGCTTCGTGTATAATGTTTATTTTATTTCCTAATGTGTCTGGCTTATTTCATGCAATGTATATATATTACCTAGGCATTCTATAGAATACCTGATTATATACTTTGCCGGAAACGGAAACATATATCAACAAATCAACGCGCATTGGCGTCAACAGAATCGTCTTTAGCTGATTCAAGACTATTAGAACTCTCCAAGGGAGTAGGCCTACATAATCTTTGGTGTAGGTAAAATGTAAATTGTACTCGCAAACAATACTATATTTTGTTAATTTTCATTTTCCTACATTTGTTTAGTTTTTGTAAGAAAACACTCAAGTTCCTGTTATATTTAGATAAGTCTTGTTACCATCTAATCCATTGTTATTAATAACGATCTGTGTTAGCATTGATAACGATCACTGTTCGTATTGATAATGATCATAATCATTGTTCGGATAACAATCAATGTTCGTATTGATAACAATCATTGTACTAATTGATAACGATAATTGTTCGTATTGATAACAATCACTGTTCGTACCTATTGATAATGATCATAATCATTGTTCGGATAACAATCAATGTTCGTAGTGATAACAATCATTTTACGAATTTGATAACGATAATTGTTCGTATTGATAACAATCATTATTCGTATTGATATCGATTATTGTTAGTGTTAATAAATAAAATAATAAATTAAATGTTTGTTGCATAGCATCCAATGGCAAATGATTATAGCGTTGACTGTCAACGATTATAGTCTATATGATGGAACCTGTCTTCTGACCCTTCGCTATCTCGGACTGGCCTGTCTTATGGTCGAGGCTAAAAGACAGGTCCCATCATACAGACTATAGGCTCAGGATTAAACTAGCAACTTCAGATTTTAAAACTAAGTCTACACATCACTTGGTTACTTAGACTTTTATTTAGATTTGGTTACTTTTGTAATATTAAGACAAAAACTTTAGTAGGCACTTATTATGAATATAATATTTGGTTTTACGAAATCTTACTAATATTATAAATGTGAAAGTTTGTGTGTTTGTTTGTTTGTTTGTGTGTTTGAAGTTCAATCACGCATAAACCACTGGACGGATTGGGCTGAAATTTGGCATGATGATAGCTTACATTCCCGATTAACATATAGGCATATTCTTATCTCAAAAATCCTTTCGGGCTCCGCCCCAGTGGCTTTGTAATTCCCCATGTTAACCTTATGAGTATTCATATTTAAAGGGAATTAAAGAATTTAGTCAGCTGTTTCAACTAATAAAGTTGGTTCTATGATATGGAAGAGCATTAAAAAGTTATAAGATTTACCAACAGGGTGCAGCACTATATTTTTTTTGCATTTATGAAAACAGCTAATTTGAACTAAGCAGCAACAAAAAACTGTGATTCGCAATGAGATCTGTCAAAGTAGGATTGTTTACAGTTATGTTTATGTTTTTCATTTCATGAATAATTTGTGATATTTTGCGAATCGTTGATAACTTAATTTATTATTCTCTATTGTTTAGGTGAAGTGGTAGAACATTATGGCTATGGTAGATGTGTATTACTATAGAATACTGTAAATTAAAAAAAAAACAAATTTTATCAAACTGTGTCCTCCCTTATTGCAAACGCAAAGCTTAAGTATAACTGCAATAAGCATTTTATACTTATATTCCAACCCCGTACGAAGGACGGGTACTCTGCTAGTATTTAATATTTATGTTACCAATTGATTACTATGCATATACTACTGTTGCAGTTACTGTATTTCATAAATATTTATATTGAAAATCTTAAGCCTTTATGTAGAGTATAAATTCAACAATAATATTCAATAAATTAATTAAATAACCAATCTTTATATATTATAATTTATAAAGTTCTTTTTTTGTCGGTAGGCTATAATTTCCTTACTTCTCTAGCAATTTCCATTAATGTAATCCAATGTGCATCTGTTATTCCTTCTCATAATCTTTAAATACTAAATGCAAGTAAAATTTATACTTTAAAGTCTAAGTATTTAAATACAGTTGTGTATTTCATCACTTGGGCTTGAAGTGATTCATCTTTCGGGGGTAAGAAATGACAGTTTTTGCCCGTGTTATGAACTATATTTTTCGTTATGTTGCACCATAATTTAAGAAAACTCAGTTACAAAACTACAATACTTTTCATGTTTTAGGGAGAAAAATTGCTACTTCAGATCTCTAACTCACATATTAATTGAAAACATCTGTTTTGCTGCAGTATGACAAAAGTAATTCTAAGTTATGCTTAAGTCTTTCTTTAGTACAGTAATAGAATTTACTACCTCAAAGCTGCATTGACTTACTTGATATTTCTTTAAATATTTATAAAATTATAACCAATCATTGCAGATTATTTATATTCATATATACCTATTCGTTTATTCACCTTCTGAAGCATACTCTGTCTTCATAGTGGGGTTTTGGACATGACAAGGGCAAAAAATGTATTGAAAGAGTAAGGCTCAAAATAAAATTTCTTTTTATTCAATTTCTATACAATATCATACAAAATTTCCTGGAATGAGATCAAAATGTACAAATATAACTCTGCTAGCAGAAATGGCACTTCAGGCCTGTACATATATACATTCAAGTTAGTGGGTTAGTTCAGTAAAAAGATAAAGAGAAAGTAAAAATTACAGTAACAATTTGGCACAAGGAATTCACAAAGTAATAGTTTTTATATACTAAACATATACAGAAATAAAGAGAAAATAAAAATAAACGCTAGACAAAAGGTGAGAAAATATTGCCATGAATAGATATAAAAATGAAAATATATGAACTACCCCTGTACTTCCTTTAGAATGCAAATGATATTGCACAAATAACTTTATTTGTAACATATTTAAAATCTCTTATATACACAATTTACACTTTACACACTTATAATTAGTAGCACATTCAACAAACGTATGCTGTACAGATAAACATAAACTATATTTTATGTTTTATTTTGAAATTTTTAAATATTTTAAACTTAAAACTTTACTATTTTAGATCAAATATATATATATAGTATTTTTCTTTTATTTTTGGAGAAAATTAGTTTTGCAGAGTTCTATAATAATTTTCCAAGGACTTTTTACTTCAGTTCACGTTATTGAAATAACATTCATCGGCACCAATAATGATTATAAATGACCCCCATGCTACATGAGTAAATGTAATTAAAGGTCATTAAATCAGCTGCATCATTAGAGAATCTGGGTGGGCTCCTGAGGCAATGTAAATGACTTCATTTGATTATTCTTACAGGCTCAAACTTGAAGTTATAAAAGGCCTTCATTGCATAAGCCCTTTTACATCTAGAAACAAAAAACTGTAATAATCTGGATCTAATTTTGCACATATTTGAAATAGTTTCAAAATAGAAACATATTAGCAATTATCAACAAAAAATTGTATTTGAAAAACTATACAACATACTTTTATATACAACGTAACTATTTTATATACACTTTGACTTACAGTAACTTTACAGCATGGAACTTAACATAATAAAATTCTATATTATCACAGAATCTCAAAAACACAACAATAACAAAGTGTAATCTAAAGCACCTCTTGTACAAAAAAGTAACAATTTAAATTTTGTTTAGTTTTTGAATTATGAATTTTAATTTTGCAATGCTTTATTTAGCTGTTCATATAAATTTAGCAAAGGAAAAACAATTAAAATGCATGAAAATTCCCAATGATTAAAAAAATACCTCAGTGAATGTTTTGTTCGATCTTAATATAAACATCAAAACAGAAATCATAAATATGACACTTTACCATAAAAAACCAATTATCAAAAAGATTTCTTTTTTAATTTAAAGAAGTAGTTAAACACTCAACAACACTTTAAAATGTAATTTTTATGCATCTTTCAGAATCTACAAATTATTAAAGGCTAGGTCTTAATTATAAAAAAATGATTATAATAGAAAAAAAGTATTATTATTTTTATGAAACTCATTGACAATAGAAGTTTTAAGATTATAGTTTTTAATCAAAATGTTAAAGAACAAATAATGTAAACAAAAAAAAAAATCCACCTAATTGTGATATGATGAGACAAAAGAATAACATTTCTTCTTTTTTCATGTCATAAATAATTGACCTCTAATGGAGCTAATTGAGCTTAATGGAGCCTCTAATGGCGAATAAGCATTTTTATATTTCAAAGTGTTGTTAGTGTAACTCAGTTTAAAAATAAATTAATCTTAATCTTAAAACTCAATTCTCGGGTATTATCACAGCCTAACTGTTCAAAACACAGTTCGCACTCCCACTAAGACTCTCGGTCCTCACGACTTCCACCCAATCCTCAAGTCTAGGCGCACACGTGATCGCTAGGTCTCCCAGTTTTCGTCTGGCCATGAAGACAAACTCTCCCGTCCCATGTTTGGCACCACAGTGTCCCGGAAGAGATAACTGGACAAGATTTTCCTTTTCTGGAAAAATCGAGTTTTCCTCCTCTTCTTCTTCTCCGTCTGAGGTAATGGTGGAAGAAGAGTGCCTCAGGTGTTTCGTAACTTTTACAGTGACTGAAGACGTTTCGAGGTCTTCTTGGTTCTCAACTGAGCGGATGATACCTCGGGTTACTGAAAAAAGGAGAAAAAGATGTAAATAAATATTTATATGATTCACAAACAGTAATAATAAAATTCATATCCTTGTATTTTCAAAACAAAAATGGAAAATATTTGTAGTGTCACGTAGTAATTGAGAGGAAATTATTAACTATTATTATTGAAAAACTGCTTTATGGGAAGATTTTATACATTGGGAAAATAGTATATAGCCCAGGTAAATTAGACTTGTAGCTTCAAAGAATTGGGGGAAAGCTGGAAATCATTTTAATCTGCTCTGGACTGGTTTTTTGCCTCCCATACACTTAAGACTTAACTCACTTCAGAATCCGTCGCAAACTCATTTTTAACCTATTTAGGATCTTCATTTCCAGCTTAATTTTTAGGAGCTACAACTCTTTTTTGGGCTAATTTGCCTGTGCTTAATAGGGTTGTTACTACAGTATATGTGTTTCTCGTGATTAAATATTTTGCGTTTTTTTCAAGGGAACGGTTAAAAACCAGGTTTTGTTACACTGTTGAACTTTAGTCAATTGTTTGCATCGCGAAAGCATCATTAATTGTTAACTCAATTACCCATAGTCCACGATGGACACTTCGGATCGAACTTGTAGTCTTGATAGATAGGTTTAAAGGAGTACTATAACACATTGGCTACCCAGAAGACTAAAAAAAATAATGTATTTTAGCACTTTTAACATAACCAGTGGACCTGTTCATTACGCTATATTCGTTGTTTCAAGTTTAAATCCAAAATAACCAACATTTCCTGAAGGATTTGTATTGAAACTCCTTTATGCTTTAATAGGCTTTATCCACTAACACTTTGTTGGATTTATCAATCAGACGGAGTAACTCAACATAGTAAAACTGGTTTCGTTTACTTATTTTACTCCGTGGCCACGTCAATATCTTGGGCAGACATCAGGAGCAAACAAGAGATTTGAACGTGACTGACGCAAGCTGAAGGAATTATGGAGGCGGCAGCGGACAAAGAGGTGATAAGAGCTTTGTTGACACTGATAAGGACTCGGGCAACGGCCTGCATGACCTCTGGACACGAAGAGAGTGGGGGAGGAGATGGCCAGGATAAGGAAAGGAGGAGGAAGGAGGCGAAAAATAGGCAGAGGAAAGAGGATAGAAACTATGTACGTGTCTTGCTAAACAAGTATGAGGGAAAAGAAAAATAACGGTAATACAAATTGTAAAAGTTCAAACTCTACGTTGTTTAAATTGACATTATTTAAACAGAGCAATCTTTACTCATTGTTGCACCTTCGTCAAAATATTCACGAGTAAATAAAATTAGAATCCTATTAATCTTAAACTATAAAATGAGTATCAATAACTCACCGAGATCACTTGTGCAGAACGCATGTGTCATCTCTTCTTTCGAGCACGGCCTGCACTCTGAAAAAATAATTCAAATTTTAGCGACAATGTTGGCAGCTCTGACAGCAATCATCTGTAATAGCGATCAGCTGGCTGGAATGTTGAGTGCAGCTGTCACTACAAAAGCCTTCGCCGTTGCATAGAGGCCGACAACTGGATCCTTATATGTATGACAGTGATTATGAAATCTCTCCTTTGTAGGATTGAGATAATTGACTCGAATCGATCTGTCGTACCCAGTTGATAGGTGGTATTATCTGTCACGAAGAGTGGTACGGAGAGTATGGATATAGTTATGATGTATTGATAACTGAAGAAAGTTTAACAAGTTTGTTGACTTATTTATGTAATACTAGAAGGAATTGAGCCAAATAAAGACACTTACCATCAGAAGCATGGTATCCTCCGCTGTGCCTTGGTAGTGCTTCCAGATCGTAAAAGAGTTCAGCGACCTGTTTCGGAAACGTTGCTGCTCCCGTAGCTTCTACGTAGAGAGCGGCTTGGCCTCCACGACTGTGGAAACACCTCACCTTCTGTCTGTAACACGAAAAGAGGAAGGTCGTATAAAACATGACATGGCGAAGAATGCGATTGAGGCACGAAACAGTCAATCTAGCGTTAGAAAGGAAATGTGATCGAGATATTTTAAAGTAATATTTTGCTAAACCACGACAGAAATCTTTCAAAAACTTAAACCACGTGAAAAGAATACGCACAACTAACAGAGACTATTTGCACATAATTATAATTATCAGTAGTAGGATCTTGGAAAATAGTGTAGGGTGGAAAGCTAAAAGAAAACAACAGTCCAAATGCTCTACCCTGAGGAATCTACTCTACCCAAAAGACAAATTAAGGCTAAAGAGTACCAAAATCATAGAACATACACAGCAAGCTTATAATCCAATTCAATCTCAAACAAGAACAAAAAGATGAGGAAATACTATCATTTTAGCTGGTATAATTTACATCACGGGAATTAGTACAATTGACAAAACCATGGAGTGAGTAAAACCAAACGCTCACGCATTTAAATTTTAAGTGTGGCGTAAACAACAAAGTTTAACTCACCTAGAGTCTTCTTGGTCCAACAGCCTGACCAGGGACCTGGGGCCCTCCAGGAAGACTCTAGCGCCAGCCCAAGACGCAGAGGACTTGATACACCCTCTGAACTCTCTCCCAGAGGATCCAAGTCGTAGGAGAACCCTCAAAGCACCTCCTGGATAACTCCAGGTAACTCTGCCTTGGGAGCACCGAAGGTACACTGGAGTAACTCCTCGCGCTGGGTGCAGACCACTGAAACAAAAAGTCAAATTATAAGTTAGCTAGTACTTTGGTAAATCACATAAAAAGACTTTGTTGATAACTCTATTTTATATTTACAATTTAAGGGATTTTTAGTGTTTTAGTTGCTGTGTAGTAAAATGATTGTTATTGAGAGGTGTTAGATGACAGAATTTTTATAATATAGCTCAATGAACAGCAAAAAGTGTTAATTAATGCAGCATAATTCCCAAAGACCCATTGGTTTTGTGTCGGTGGTTTAAGATGGTTTACATACACAACGCATAAAGGACAAACGCAACGTGATAGTTTTAAATTTGATCCTACTTATAAACTGTGCAAGATTTTAAATATATGAAAGCTTTATCATGGTTACAAAGCTAAACATTTAATAAACCCCCATCTGTTACTAAAATCTAAGCAAGATGCACAGGAGCACGAGAACACAAATTGGTCGCATAGAACGGACACGAAATGTTTAACAAAACTTATCTTTGCATCTTTAGCAATTAGCATCAAAAAAATTTGTAACAATCCTTTTTCTTTGAATCAATCGTTCCGAACACACATAGAGAAGCTGCGGTGACCCCAACATCTGAAGGTTCGGCCGTTATCCGGTCCACTTTCACCAACAAAGCTCTCTGGTGCTGTGATCGCTTTCTATCTGGTAGGTGCAGCATTTTACCGTGTCAGATTTGACTCCAGCCGACAATTACCATACGCGAGCGGAGAGGGGATGGAACAGCACGTGCAGAACTGGTTCGCGAGAAGTGATTTGACGTTGCCAAATTCCGTGGGTAAAAAACTCAAGTAGAAAGCGGTGCAGTTCGACAAAGTTGCAAGATTGCCCCTATTAGTGTAAATCCTGCTAATTTTCTTCAGCTGCAGTCACTGTGTTTATTAGGCAGGTGCAGTTGAACAGGGTTTCAACCCATGCTGAAATTTGACTGCAACGTGTACACTCTCATCAAAATCTAGCATGAACAAGATTTTAAGACCTCCAGAAGGAAAAAATACTTACGTGCAGTTTAAACATCTTCAATGTTTTCCACAATTTGTTAATTATTTGAGCGTTATCAATGATGATTTCTTCATACTTTCATCTTTAAGCAGTGTTTGGTTGATCCACTAGTTTGTTTGAATGTTTTCCTTATTCGAGAGATTGAAGAGACATTGACACCAACTATGATCAATAACAAAGGTCGCGTAAGCACCTCATTAAAAATCAATCAGTACACAAAGTAAACAAGAAGTGGTTCGCGATCGGGTGTTAAAGACCGGGGAACCAGCAATCAACCTATCAAGGTGTGGAACCACAAGGAACTGCGGTCTGGCCTCACGCCATCGTGGGCCTAACCGAGCGTAAACAGCTGTTCAACAATCAAACACATCAGGTGGTAATGAGAGGCTGTCCGAATCAGCTGATCGGCAGAAACCAGCTGACCAAGTAGAATCACGTGGTTGTGGTGAGCTCTTAATTTACAGGTTGAGTCCTGTTTTGTCTATTTTTTATATAACAGAATATCTACTCTCCACGAACTCTTGTGGTCATTTTGAGTGATTTGTTGATTGTGAATGTCAACACACAACATATGAGATTTTGGTTTGCACAAACATAACTGTTTCACGTGATCTACTGTTGAAAAATGTAACGCAAACTAATGAATTGTTGTGAAGCTATTCGATAGGCAAAATAGAACAAATTAAATAATTTTATAAAGATAATTAAAATAAAATTTCCATCAAATCTTCTAGCCAAAAACTTTGAGACTTTGACAACTCACCAACCCCGAGACACTGTTCTGCATCAGATTATTTTATTCAACCTCGTAGGCGTCCATTGTCAAGTAAACCTTGTAGTCCACGAGAAAAAGAAGAAGGTGGAATAATCATTTGTAACAAATGGCGACTAGTATGACAAGAGGGCTGGATAAATCAAGGCCAACATCTAGAGGCGTTGGAGCAAACCCACGTGTTCAAGAGCCACTAAATCTTCTGGCCTTCTGTTCAGATCAAGTCTGAAAGTGGTTCAAGATTAGTTGAAGATCTCTAGAGATAGGGATACCAAGCAAATTAATACTATGATATCAGGAAAACCGTTGCCATCCGAAGTAGTTTCTATTTTTTCGGCAAGGATTGGTTTATATTGGTATTTGGAAATAAGCTTATTCCACATATTCTAATGAAAGAACCTCCTGTTGTGAAGTGAAGTAACATTAATTATGTGTAAATTACCCACTCTAAAAAAAGATTGACTTTCTTTCGCAAAATGTAGAGGATACAACTATAATTTTACCTAAATTAAAATTCCTAATGATATTTGTAAGAAGGGAAAAGTTGGATTTCAAAAGGGCAATCTTTCTGTTGATTATGTCATCCGAGAAGACAGGTACCACAAAATGAACATAAACACTTTAACAGATTAAATTACAAATATTACCGTTGGATGCATTTACAGATGAACGGTTACCGCGGAAGAATTACATCACTTCCTACAAATATACACACTGCGGTTCGGAAGCCACCAAAGGTTTGCGGGTCGCAAGTCAAGATGGCGCAAATCGTGAAAGTGAAGGAGAAAATTAATGCAAAACTGTTGAATAGTTTGAGAGGTAATTTACTATAATTGCAGGTTGGAAACGAAATGTCATAGAAACTTCCGTCATCAAGAGAGTCACGACGACGGCAGATTAACTGAAATTGACTTGCGGTCTAGACTGGCGTCATGGCGAACCGGAGTGAGGTACTAGTCGAGTGGAAAACATCGCATTAGGGTGGATTGGACCGGAGGGTGGTCTGTGATTGAGGGTTGATGTAATAAAGATCTTGCCAGTGTTTAAACTGGTAAATGGAATAGATTATGTGACTATAGTAGAGGCACTGTCCAGAAGGAAACATCTATATAGGGTGCAAGAGAAACGGAATCGCATCAGGTTTTAAGTTGACTTCGATAGGTGTTTATGATGACATCGCAAACAAACATCTAACCCTATTGGAATAAGTTAGACTAAAAGTGTAGAACCAAGCAGAAGATATGTACTAATAATCAAAGTGAGTTTTTGTTGTTGTACATGCGAGAAAAAATATAGAAATTATAGAATGCATTATAGAATAGATTATTTATCATGTCATTCAGGCATTTACTTTTGGGCGGTGGAGAATGTAGATAGAATGATTATGTCTTGCCAATCGCTGTAGGATTTTGACTGACACAGCCACAGAAACGACGACTTTTTAGTGAGAATCACACCAGTCCTAACTCTGCAGTAGGTACCATGTTCTACCTTCTGTTAAGGGAACTATAGGCCAATGTCCAATGTATGCCTTTGGTACCGGACTGAAATACATTAAATGTCCAAAAAGTTGGGTCCATAGTCAATGATTCCGGGTTCTAAATCTGATTTAATTCATTCGAATGGTGAGGAAAGTCTTAAAGTATTAACATAAAGTTGTAATAGATAACTGCGATTCTCACTTCTTCCTTCTGCAATATTGTCTTCAACGACAATGAACTTATGCAACTCCAATCCAATCAGACAAATCCATCTGCTCTCACTACAAAGGGAGAAAAGTACACGATCGTTTCAACACCGCCGTCAGTTACAGTGGAGAGATTAATTGTTATCAGTTACCACTACAGGGTGTTCACGACTTGTTGCAAAACAGCGGTTGTATCGGCCTTGTTACGTAGTTGTCGGTCGTGGCAGGGCCGACCTACCTTGGACCTAGCTTTCACTCACCTTTGGCAGCGCTCTTGACCCAAGAGTTGGGGTTGGCTGGGAACATTGAAAGGTTCAATGTTCAAACCCAGATATGAAGGGTTTTATAGGTTGAAACATTTTAAATGACTTTGCAGATGAGTAAAAGACTTCGGTAGCTTTCCGATGTCAAGGAGATTTCATGAGCAGCATGGCAGATTTCACGAAGAATTTAAGGATGGAGTGAAGTAGCATTGGTTTAGCTCTTTTGTCAAGTATGGAAGCTCTTGAAACGTCTGATCTTCATAAGGCATCCTTGAAGGAAGCCAGCTTTTAAGAACAGTACGGAATTTTTAGAATTTAAGGATGAAATTATGAATGATCGGTTAAATGCTTCTGTAGTATGGGGGCTATTGAATACCCAGACTCAATAATATCTCTTTTAAGAAAGCAAGAACACTATGAACAGCATGGAAGATTTTAAGAACATTATAGTATGTATTGAATAATTATATTGATGATTTTTGGAACTACATGATGAGTAATAACAAAAATTTATATGATGAAGTTTCTGAAGAGATAGCTCTTAAACTCAGGATTGCTAATATCTCTTTCCATTTTTTTTTTTTTTAATTTGGATGAGGGATTTATTTTCTTAGTTTATAGTATGGGCCATGAATTGGAAAGTCGGAGAGTCTTTTTATTCGTTGGGATTAATCATCACCTCAGATTTGTAAATAAAAAGTTTACACGTAGGATATTTTTCGTCGGATGTTTTTCCGGAGACAGGCCATTCTATGAGTTGTTTCTCAATAGGTGGATGCTAGGTTTTGTGTTTCCTGATGAAGACAACTTAAGGGTGTCTAAAGGTGGACAACATAGAGGGGTTTTCTCTTGGGGCTGTGTCATTCTAGGGGTTGTGTCAAGTGTCACGTCATGCTCCTGTGTCACGATAGCCCATGTAACGCTATCCTTCAGCACAGGTGGCCCGACAAGCTCTGCTGAGCGCAGATTACATTACATTCTTCTTCTTCTTTGTCGCTCACGAAGTTAATAAGGGAGCCGGGCGCGCGCGTGTGCCTGTTATTATTCATGCGACAAAGCCAGTGTTATTAGCTATTGTGACCTTTTTGTGCCGAGCCTCTAACGGCGGTCAGCGTTTTTGGGTGCTGTTATGTAGATCTTGGACTTTTTCAATTATGTTTGGAATTCCTTATTTCCCTTCGGTTGAGAGAGTTTGGTTTATTTATTCACAGTTTTTGAGTGAAAAGAGACGTCGAAAGAGGATTATAATGAGAAACTATTTACGATGTG